CTACTTAAAACTTAAACCGCCCAATAACTGATGGGGCAAATATATTTCTGCATCCCATGCCATTGATTGCTACAAGTAGCCTGAGCTTAAAACAATAATTGTTTTACCGAAATCTAATTCCAGCCGAGCTACGCTTGGCAAAACAGCCCGAGCTGACCTGTAAAGACACATAAGGCCAACAGTGAGATTCCATTAAAAAAATCACTGAAATCGGGTCTACATATATATATATATTTGCCCTAACCATTTAGGTATGCGACACCCAAATCCATACAAAACTAATTATGTACAAGATATTACTAAATGATATCATTCAAGTTGTTTTACACTTTATAACGTTAAACTAATTGCGAAGATGTACTGATTACAGCGATAGATAAGATCTGTAATTACACGTAATTATGTTAATGGCGTAGCGTCGGGAATATCTTATTTATTTATGAAAATTCATTATTAATTAAAGTAAAAGCAGTGAGCTAAATGTGCTTTTGACTCATTCATTAATTATCAGCTGACGGATTTATTATATAAATGCCAAAAATTAAATTTGGGATAAAAGAAATGAAAATTAAATTGAATAAAAATATGGTGTAATGGTTGCAGCTCCTTACAAACGATGTGTAAAAAAAACATGGCGATTAAATAGAGTGGCGGAGAGTTTATTGCCAGTTCTTCTCTTCCGTTCTACGCCCTTGATTTGAGAACTGGCAGTAAATGTAAAATTAGAAGCATTAATATTTATTTCATTAATGACGAATCACAAGTGTACATTGTGTTACCTACGTGAATAAATGATTTATGTATGTTCTAATATGTTGTTTTAATATGTTCATATGAATCGGAAAAATTATCAAAAATACATTTTGATCTTTAATCATTCAAAATATATCTTTTTTTATAATATAATGGTTAAACCCACTTACAACAATTTATCTTAGTCGATTTGTAAAGTTAATTTTATAGAAATTATCCAATATGTGATCTACACATATTGCAGGATATTTGCGTGCGGTCGACAGTGACCTTGCCGGCATCACTAAGTCGTACTTTAGACTGCCTCAGCACTGCGCATCGAACTGCGCAGCATGTGACTAGACAAGCAGAACATTGAACGACTATTTTAAGAGCACAGCCATGAATGATAACGTTATATTCCTTGGGATACAAAGAGAGTAAAAAATACGACACGTTTTCTGAAGAATTCTCGTATAGTAGATTTATCGTACTTATACATGGATACAGCTAAAAATTAAATCATCAAAAATTAGAACTCTAAATACAAAAACAAACTGTGTGTTGAAGATTGTCTATGGTTGCTGTCATTTTCAGATTTCAAAAAATGAATCTTAAGAGTCCGCGCCACCACTGAATGCCGATAGACGCAGCGCCACCGAGTAGCGCGGCGTAGTAATATGTTGCTAGTGCTAGATGCAAGGCTATTTTACCCCAACGTAAATTAATACGAAATTCGCGAACTAGTCTCCAAGATTTGCTTCTAATGTTTTACCTTAAAACGAATAAAATAATATTTCACTGTAACGACAAATTTAGTTCCAGGGTTCCCGTCGGCAATGAATGGTGGCGCGGACTATACTACACATTTCAGCGAGTCTATCAAATGAAGTTAGTTAACTTCCTAAAAAAGTTGTTGCGAAAAAGCGTTGAGTTATGCAATAAATTGATTTCAATTTCGTATCGATGAAATAGAGAGGGGAGGTTATATTAACTATTTATATATCCGTGGCAGGATTAAAAGATACCTTTTTTTTATTTCCATTAAAATGATTGAAGGCAAATTTGCTATTTTATATCCTCATTCTACACGTATGAAGAGTCATCAGACAGTTTGAATGAAAACACCAGTGGCAAGAGCTTCTCACGAGGCCAAAGATTACAGAAACAGCTTTTGAAATATCCCCGGATACGAGTTACTATCTTGTTTCTCACAGCTTAGCATATAATAAATATCATTACATAGCCAAATCAGATAAGTTTCAGTTTTAAATTACTCAAACTTAGTAGTAGACTTTCCTTAGGAACATTTGCAAAGTAAAAATACGCACTACATATTGAAATAATATAAATTCCTATTATTAACAAGCTTCATCTCTTTTTATTGATTTATTTATTTGGAAAAACAGATACATGTCTTTACAATAAAAAAAGTTATAGTTATATGATAAATGATGAATATATGCTCTAAGATGGCATTAGGTAAATTTGACTATGAAATTTCACGTTGTAGGTGTACAATTGTCAGCAAGGCCACGAGAATTTTACGAGCTCTTATATAATAGCTACTGGAAATATTTTGTAAAATCATCTACTACGTACTTATTAATATTAAGATGTTATGTTAGTAGTCAAACAAAATGACTTAGCCGGGAAACAATATGACATTTCTCCAAGCGACTGTGGGAGCCATCTCGGCACACAATGAAGACATAACTTTGCGCAGTAATTACAGCATTTATCCTCTTCCCGTCTGACATAATATTAAAAGCACTACGAAACGTACGGCCAGATAATATTTTTGCTGTCAATCATGCCAGGAGCCAGAGCAATCCTCTTGTATTAATTGCTATTTTATATACTACGTCGTTACTTTATATGTTTTACTATACATACTAACCCCTAAGCAGTGTCGGCCTAGTCGCTACAGCGTGCGACTCATTTCGAGGTTCGTTCCTTGGCTGTGCACCAATGGACTTTCTTTATATATGCGTATTTAATAATCTCTCGAACGGTGAAGGAAAACATTGTAAGAAAACCGGCTTGCTTAGTCCAAAAGTCGACAGCCTGTGTCAGGCACAGGATGCTGGTACCTGCCTATCAGATTGAGAAATGATCATGAAACAGATACAGAAATCTTAGGCCCAGACCTAAACAGGTTGTAGTGCCACTGACTTATTTTATTTTACTATCACACATAAGTTCTGATATTATTTTTATATTTAAAAATATTCTGTGCGTTTGTTTGTAATTATGCTCCTTCTAGACGGCTGGATCGACTTAGATAACATTTTTTGTACTACGAGATCGAGAATGGTTAAGATTTACAAATAGACAGGATAACGTCTGTCGGGCTCATATTTTATGTATTTTCATATTGATAATAATTTTTGAAAAGTTATATTAAATGTTAAGCTTTATAAACCCGACTTTATTTAACAAAATTTAAATCATGGTTTGAACATTATTAGGACATTATTGTATTGAAAATTCATTTAAAACAATTATTAGTTATTCAATTTAATAAATAAATTGTATGATATGTAGGTTAGGGATTGCCAAAATACATATTGTTGCGCTCTAGAACCCAAAACATTAAATTTATCACGTACCCGACCGCAGTACGAGTACGACTTTGAAAAATTTATCATTGCGTAGTAAAATATTAGCATACATTTAAAACTCAACTGGGAACAATCTTATATTATTCCTATTTATCAACGTCGTGAAGACGAATTCGATTATATTATACACGTCAGAATTAATTGATGAATATATTTCCGAAACTATTCGGTTCATCTAAACAAATTTTGTTGAGTACTTGTTATTTTGTAGCTTTAATGCTGGGACCATTTAAGTATGTAATTTATTTATGGGAAAGAAATATTTTAGCCCGCTAAAGTATCTCTGACAAGCAGGCATATTACCTAAGGCGCTTAAGGATATTATCGACAAGGCAATTGCTATATCTTTCATCAGCAACATACTACTGTCTTTGAACTAACAGTGAAATTTTACCGTATTCGCCATGTAGGGGGTTTGACTATTCGTTTACACAGCGCCTCCAGAGCGGAGAGCAATGGAGGAGCAAATAACAAAGTATATTAAATCCCGAGAATCGAGCCCTAGGCGTCACATAACGTCCAAAAAGTCAGGGAAGAAAATAACTCAGAAATGTTCTCTTTGCTCCTTTGTGATACTCTATATGTATGGTTGTACGAAGAGCCTCCAGAGGGCAAGGTACAGGATCTGCGCCGAGTGCGATTGTATCGATTGAAACAAGACTCGAGTCGTCTAGCGATCAGATACACAACCGACAACTCCTCTTTTAGATTGAGGCTCGATCGTATCTCGGAACCTTCCATATAGGCTAGTACTGACAAGTACGAACATGACAAGAATTATTTCATATAAACTACTTTGTTTAAGTCAAGTACATATATTATCATAAAATAATGTGCAAAAAATCTCTTCTAACCAACTTAAATTTTTGCTTTACCTCACAGCTAATGGCTAATTCATAAACGTAAAATATTTAAATAATTCACGTTTTTTACATGCAAATATCACGCAACCAACACACCAGTAATAACACATTTGGCATGACATTTAACACCTATTAAAGTAGTACGTTTATTAATTTAAATTGACATAATTATTTAGTGGAATATAATTGGGTATATGACTTAGTTGATTTAAAAAATAAATTCGCAATGAATCTCAGTTTTCATAATTTGTAAAGAGTTCCACTAACCCGATATTCACAGAAAACAGGTATTTAAGTCCATGTACTAATTACGAACAAAATAACACCTCGCTCACATAGTTAGCAAAGGCTAATTTGAGTTTCACCAATCTGATCCTAGTTTTAAAATTATTTCAAAGTAATTAAGCTAATTTTATTACGTTGCTGCAAGACGAGCTTTTTAGTTAATAACTGAGTAAAGCTAAGTGACCTTTGAGAGTCTAATTTCCGGCGGAAGTAAGGGTACCTCTTTCGAATTAAGCTAAATGGAGCGTGACGTTGCACTCTACTGACCTGTAGTTATAAAATGCATAAAATATATTTTTAATATTAAGCTCTTGAAATTACTAAACTCGTAATAAGTTAGATTTGTGAAAGCCAAACTTATAAGTTGAACATGGGGATCTTAAATTGTTTTTAAAATGTTGCTTAAATAATATATCATGATTTATCTTAACCTCTAATAATCACGAAACTTTTACACCGCTATTGCATCACACAAATTAAGTAAGTTAAATCAGTATTAGTACTGTCCCAATTTAGTCAGAGTAAGGCATAAACGGAGCAGCGATGTAAGCTGTATGTCGTAACTAATATCTAATCTATCAAAAGGCTCTATGGGTACGTAGCGTATGGGCCCGTAGCCCGTACGCGAATGTAGTTCACGACTCACGTCGTCCTGAGCCCGGCGGACAGAGCGAGGTCGCGCGCGATCGATGCGGCAACTTATTACTTTCCTCCCGAAATCAATGCTCCTCGCCCTACATTCCGGCTGACGGCGCTCCCGGGACGAGGGACGGCTGGCTCGACACCCGCCTGTTTTGAATTTATAAGCGCGCAACAGCTGATCGCGCCGTTGCCGAACCGCGCGGGCTGCGTTGCCGCGCCGCCGCCGAGCCTCAGAGGCGATCGACCGAGCTGAGCCCCCCCTACCCGCGCCATTCCGCAAATTCTACATTACTCAAGCCTGAAATACTTGGCCCTTCGGAAAAGGTTTAGTTTGGGAAAATTTTCCGGCTGTCCTCGTTTTAGTGGCGCACGTGCGGTTCCCTAATTTAAGACTTCAATTGAACAAAAATCACCTCTATGCTGTAAGTGGGTTAAACATGTATGTGTCTACATATTATGTCTATGTAAATATAAGCTTTGGATTTCTTCTGCGAATGAATTTAACAATACAGAAGACTAGCCTTAAATTTGGGCTACATAATCTAGGTATAATATTGAGGTACATTAATATTACCTGCATGGATAATGGTTAAAACTATGGTTGGTAGATGTGAATATGTGTGATACATAAACACGGAAAAACGTAGGTGAAAATATAACTTCTGTATTATGATTATCTTAAAACTTTAAACAAAATTAGGAAAAGGTACGTAAGGTAATGACAGTGGAATAAATATTCTATAAATAAAATATTCTGTAATAATAAAAATAAATTCATTGCAACTGTGTCTACCGGGTTAGTGCAAAAGTCACAACAGTCCCTTCCCCGGGGTCTGTTGACATGACGAACAAGAATTAAATCCATTTATTGCTCGCCATATGTACTGTACACACACAGAGGCTGAGCCCGACACATAGGTAGTACATAGAGATGGTGCCGTATCGATCCACTCACTTGCGGCTCTGCTCTCCGCTTTCACTCAACACAGACATTTTCACAAAAAATTTCAATCGAAACCGTTAACACATATAAATAGTTCTGTTACGTAGTATTATTAAACATTAGTATGAACTGAAGCAATCAAATTTATAGTAATATTTATTCAGCCGTAGTAATTGTGTTGATTACACTGAGTTCTCATTGTGTTGTATGCATTTCAATATTATTTTTTAATACAATTCTCATGTTGTGTTTCTTGTCTGCTTTAATTTTAAAATATTAAATAAGGAATAATCGAATATTTCAATATCAAAGCTTTTTGTAGAAATTTTCAAATTTCAAAATTCAAAAACAATTAAATTGATTTTCTTCAATCAAAAAAAAATCCACGGATCTATTTCTATAAGAACAAAGTCATGTAAAAACATAACTCTATCAATTCGTATTAAAATATAAGTCGTCGGTAATTGCAGGACTAGTTAAGAAAATTTAGAGGGAATGACACGGAATTAGGAAAACCTAATTAGAAAAGTTCATGCTTGATTACAAATAATTGAGCACGACATTTAATCTATTAAAGTCAATTAACAGGCAATAAGAACGAACAGTAATTTCTAAGTAATTACTCCTTTCTAGCAGCGGCAGTGTAAATGATATCAATAAAACAATGTCTATACGTACAGAAACTTTTACTAATATATCAAAATATAGTTTAAGTTAATCTTGAAATAGAACGCAGGCCGCACATGAGGCAAATACTGGAGTTTAAAAAGAAGGCTTTGAAGCCATAAATGGACCTACGCAATGGAAGTATGACTCGACTTTGTAATGAATATCTAAGAAACTGACTTTAGGATACATAAAATCCAAAATTCTAGCGTTATATTTTATTTTAATTTGGAGATGTATCTGTGTTGTTTCCTAATAAAATGTCTAAAACCGGGTAACGATCTTAAAATCGGTCGCCCGAATCTGATGATACTGATTATGCAGGAGTCGGGGCACCTTGATTGGAACACCTCCAAGTGATTTTTGCTGCCGGAAATGCGTCAAAGTATTTTTTTTTTAAATTTAAAGTTTTGTGGAATGTATTGAAATTTGTAAACAATCCGCCATTTTCTACTTTTCGATTGGTTATAAGAGATGTGACATTCTCGGTAAATGAATCGATTGTTTTTAGCATGAAAGATCGATGAATAAAAATAATCGATTTTTTTTATTCATCGATTATTTCCTCATTAATTGTTAATTTTAAAGTTGAACCTAATTTAACCATTACAAAATAAATTTGACAAATAATTCACGTTAAACTTCACGTTTCAATTAGTGTATTCGATTTTTTTCAGTATCATCAGATTCGGGCGACCGATTTTAAGATCCAACCCGTAACTTAATGTTAATTATGATTTTATTGTACTTTTTTGTATGTTTTTATAAGAGGCATAGTAGGAAATTATTGTTTTGTCATTTTTACAAACTTACCATATACATAGTTAATTTCCATTACTCCGTACATAAAAATACATTAAGTATTTTTATACAATAAGACAAAAGCTTATACTGCGCATAACATATCTATATTCCTAAGAAGCATCCGCTTATATAAATAAATGCATGCAAACATTTCTTGGTTATGAAGCTTAGATCAACCTTTGAATGAAGAAGGGTCAAAGCGGGTCGAGACGTGAATCGTTAGCTCAAAAATTAATTGTTAAGTAAATGTCGTCAGTTAAACTTTCCGAAATATCACACGAAATCGATACAAGGTTAAATACTTTGGAGTTTGAACTTTGGGATCGCGTGTGAATTACCTAGTATCGTGTCTGGTTGTTTTTAGGTTAGCATTATATTATTTGCGAGGGTGTCACGTTTAAAACACACTTTATCAGAAGTTTCATTAATATAACTGTAAAGGCAACATATGAAAAAAGTGTCATTAATATTATAAATAACTACATTCATGTATACAATATTATATGAAATGGCCGTTCAAGTATTGTTGATTATGGAGGAGGGTCTTTGATTTTCTTATTTGGTGATAACGTCAACAGTAATAAAATTTTTTACACAAAAATTGTCTATGCTTGAAAATGCAATGAATTTTCTAGGATTCCTACAAAAAAATTATACGTTTATGTGCTATTATTTTGAGAGCTTTGCTAACTTTAGCTGACAGAGGGTGGGGGGGATTGCAGTGAATCTGCTTACGTAATAGTTGAACGGCCCCAAAAACCTACTATATAGGGCATTTCATTGTTGAGAAAACATTCTAATATAGGTATCCTAGTTGTGTGTAGATTAGAAAATTGAAAAAAAAATGAGCATCAACTAAATACAAAATGCAGTACGTGAAAAAATAAATGAAGATCAATTCATAAGTCGCTGTTCGAAATCGAAACGTTTATTTCGTACGGCAAGTGATATATTGTATTAACACAATTTTGACTGCCAGTACGATTGCCTAGAATGACTAGCCTTGTGTAGGAAAATACCAATGTCTTCTAGACCACCAAATAGAAAGTCAAATATGCAAAATTGTACATACAAAAACTGAAATGTGACACAAATGTAATGTAACAATAGCTGGGTGTTGTCAGACAACAATGGCGAGCCTAGCGAGACGAGACAGACAGACACACGCTCGTTAACGGCGTTATGCTAATCTCTTGAGCCCTGAGCCATCTGCCCACGAGTACCGAGTAGCCGCAACCACAAATTACATTGCATGAACAGTACTAGTTCAGATATGGAAAAGAATAACCAAGAATTCGTCGTTTAAAATAAAATTTAGTAAACTATCTACGTAATGAAAGCATTGCAAGTGGCACCAAAAGATATTGTAAGCAATGGCGCTGCAACCCTTGTTCTCGGCTTCAGATCCGTCGACTTGTTGGGTGCAATACAATCCTCACGCTGTTATCACTGTACGAGGGAGTGTTAAATGCGCATAGTGGTGCACAGTCGGGGTTCGAATCTACGACATCAGGTCTTGGCACGTTGAAGCCACTAGGCCAACACTGCTCTACACAAAATACGTGCTTGTATGTAACATAGAAAATTAAGTCACTAATCATTTAATAACGTCTGCGAATAAATATTCATATATTAATTATATATACACTTTATCACTGTATAGTTCAAATTTTTAACTAGTAAAACTAACTAACTTGAACTAGTATTTTTTTCTGTTCCGCGTATCCATTTAATTAAGTTAATAAGAGCAATTAGCACCGTAATAATTTTTTATTCGCTATTTTGAAAATGTTATTTAAAGTCGTAAATGTAAACAGTTATTCGAGATATGTTCGCGAAACGGAATTGCTCCAGTTCTACATTTGTTAAATTAATGATGAAATCTAATACGTTTTTGACATACGCAACTGATCTTAGCTGGAATTTAAGGGTAAGATTCGGAAACGAAACTAAGCGCTAAGACTAACTACAACGTAACCTAACTAACTAACCAGTACGTCAGAAATGGATTGAATTTTAACATAAGGAAGTCATAGTACTTTGTACCGTATAAAAGTTATCATGTTTCTAGCACATCATGTAGAAATATTATTTGAATCATTTAAAGAAAATAAGTTTCATATCGCTGTTTTAAATTAAAAATTCGTTATATTTTTTCTATACAATGTGTGATTGTGTTCGCTGTGATGAAAATAGTAGTTCGAGTCGTATTTTTTTTAAATTAGGGGATAGATTAAATTGAATATTTAAAATATATAATCTCTTCATCATTTCCGTGACGAAACGACGTAGATATCTTCGGGGGCAATTTTAATCAATTTAAACTTAACCTTTTGAAATGTGCAGAATAGCTTTGAAATATAGAATAGATCTGACACACAAAACAAATCCTAAAACAACTATGACAAATAAATAGTATCCTGACATTTATTAATTACCTAAATATATTATGAAATTATAAAAATTCCATTACAGTAAATTATTTGAGCAACAATACAAAAATGTAAATTGCTTAAATGAAATATCGTCAATTATGGCATAGCTGACTATATAATGACATAGCTCGAATAGTGATGAATATGCAGAATGGTCGGTAAGGTCAGTGCGAGTTGTTTGCCGCAGAAGTTTGTTGAACTCTGCCACTGTAGCACAGTAGCAAGTAAAAGGGTAACTATGTAAACCAATTTTTAATTGATGAAAATCTCTAACAAAGTTAACAATACAATTTCCACCCACTTGTAATTAAGTACGAAAACCCAATATTGTAATCGAAATCGCTAAAGTAGCAAAGTATGCCTGCTTTACTAACGCTCATGTTTAATTTCTGGAAATTAACAAAAAAAATCCATCGAATTATAACGTACTTCGTCGTAATGCGTTCTACGATTAAAACAGTTAAGAGGTACCTACTGTTGCTATTTTATGAATATTAATACAAATCTATATAAATAATAATGAATCGCAATATATGTTGCTAAGCGAATCTCGAAGACGGCTGAACCAATTCAATTTTTTTTTTTTTTTTATAGTGATAAAATTGGAAATTTATAAAAAAATAAAAATAACTTTGGTTTTGATTTCGAAAAGCGAAGAGTTTCTAAGTCAAATATGTCTACCTCTCATAGCAAATATAAGCATATGATCTAAGTAAAAAATCATATTAAAGGATTCTAAGTTATACGATAAGGCGTAAACTTTAAATGAAAATCTCTCTTAATGTGAAACAGTTCGTTAGTGCAAAGTGGGATCAAACAAATTTTCTAATTAAGTTTTACTATAACTGTAACACGTGTACATGTTATAATAATTGTTTTAACCGAAAAGTTTAATGTCATGATTATGAAACCATGTCAAATTACACTCATTTACTAACATTATAACTTCACGAGTTTATATATCTTAATATATATAAATTACGCGTCACGTTGTATGTCCGCTATGGACTCCTAAACAACATAACCGATTTCAATCAAATTTGCACACTGTGCAGTTTGATCTACTTAAAAGATAGGATCAATTTATACCTGCAATATTGTTTTATTGCAAAATATTTGTTTATTATTTGACTGTAGTATATTAT